TCTGAAATATCAGACTTCGGCCAAGAGCTATGACTTCAAGCACACGCAAAGTCAACTATGATAGAGGGGCGCTCACCGATCGCTTTACGGAACTCACTCGTCCGGTTGTGCCTTGGAGCTCTCTCTTTCCATCTCCGCCAACAGCGGCGCAGGGGCGGATGATATAGGCAGAATAGTATTACTAGTCGCCCTTGGTTTTTTCGGTCATGCTATTGTGCCAATGTCGACTTTATCAAGAGTACTGCGGATCCATACCCGTTGTCTGTTAGCCTGACATCCTAGTGTCTTCAGCTCGGCTTTAGAACAACAACCGAAAAGTATTAATTCATTAGAAAAGCATGTTTACGAAGAGCAGACAGCTGAGTTAACAGGGACAGTAGGCCAAAATCTTTTCAGAGTACTCAAATGACGTAAATGTTTGCGCTCTTCTTAAAGATTCGATCCAACGATAATTTACCAATGTTGCTTCAAGAGTTCCCCACCATTGAGCCAATAAATTTACTTACGGTCCCGTTCCGTCTTAAGATTAGATCTGACGACCCTCAGACTTTCCAGTTTTTACCATCCTTCCGTTTTGACTTCCTATTCCGGTCGGTGGGAGTGGGCTTATGAATTCAGCCTTGACTGTAGGCACCGCCACTCAGTGGTGGGTCTTAAAGAAAAAAACCAACTTAGCATTCAGTCCATGCAGCATATATGTCAGTTAACTCGAAAGACTTTCTATCTTTTCTTCAAGGCAAAAATTCACAACGCATGAGAGTAAGAATTCCCCGTATTACGTATGCCTTGTGGAAAGTTCCAAGGCGCATTAGGCTTGGATCTGGGTAATGCCTGTAATCAGATTAAAAGGCAGGTTTGTCCTTTACTTTTAGGCTTATTTTTTGGAGTTATAGTCGGGAGTGTAGCATGGAAATATTTAATCTTCCTGAATTTTTGCGCAAACGCAATGGTATTACAAGGGAGTGGGTGTTCCTTTTTCCTGTCATTCCAAAAAAGTAAATGAAATATGCCAGCTTTTCTCTGTATTAGTCAACGATGCCGTACCTCGAGATTTATCTCATCTGCTCGTGCTTAAACCAAAAATTGGGCCGCAAATAGCACAACGTAGGATTCCGAAACATCTGACAATACGACCCGCATGTGCCCGCATGTTGACTAATGGTCTCCCAATTAACAACCAAAAATCCGTTCAGTGTATTTTTCGACTGCGGCCCTCTCCTAACCCTGATTCCTCTGACATTCTTCCTAATGAGGTATCCTCTTTCAGGTACCTCGGCGTTACTTTGTCCTCAAATCTTTCTTTTTCCCTCCATATTGAGTCCCTATTTATTAAAGTTCGTAAACTCCTTTACTACATTCGTCGTTTGCATTCCTACTACACACCTCAACCCTTAGTCTGGCGATTCATTGATGCCTGCATTCTTCCTCTTATCCTATACTGTTCTCCTGTCGTTTTTCCTGCTTTGTTAAAAAAGGATCTTTTAATTTTGAAACGAACCCTCCGCATGCTCTCTTCTGCTGCTGGCGTTTCTTATATTTTTTTAGTTGACACAATCTTACAACGACACTTCAATGCGGTCAAGCAATTTGCTGGTCGAATTCTAGATGACGTTGCCCATCCCCTACATTCCGATCTTATGGCTGCTAAGTCTTCCCGCCCGATGCGCCGCAACTGCCGTCTTATACCCTGTCGCACATCGGCTTATTGAGCCTCTGTATTGCCATTCCTAGCGCGCTATCTTACGTGCGAAGAGACAGAAATACAGAAGCTCAGACTTGAACTATCCCCATAATAATCGTTTCTTTGACTGTTGAATAATCTCTTAACTTATTTACTACCCACTGTGAATGGAGCCACTTTTTTGCTGAAAATTTTGAACTTACGATTTCAAAATAAAGCGCATTTCCTCTCTCTCTCTCTAAGTCTGGAATAAGTTTGCGATCAGGAAGGATTACTTAAGTGGGATTGTTATACTGATTAACTTGCAGCATCACCCTATGACATTTAGGACTTCCAGGATGTCGGCTTTTAAATACAGTGCTACTTAACATCCTGCAGAAATCACCCTCGGTAAAAAATGACTGCTTTAGTAGCGCGCATTTTTCCTTTTAATTTTTGGTGGTCTTATAAATTCAAACATATGTTACAGGAACCATGCACAAAAATATGCTTTCCTTTACTAATTTGGAAGGAAATCACATTAACTTTATTTTTTATACCTGAAGTAAGTATATTTATTTAGGTTTTAAAAATGTTCTAATTATGAGATTTTTATGACTGTGCGATGTCCATGCATGCAAGACCGCAAATGTACGTTTACTAATGCTCCTCATAAAATGCACAACAGAGTCCGGAGCCATTGTACAATTTCATGAATTCTTTGTAGCATCTTCTTAAAGGCCTAGAGGAAGACATGATTGTCCTTACGCGGGAAAGCGTGCACCTTGTAGACTGAAATTGCTAAACGCTGATGCAAAGGCAAATCAGACTGAAAATTACTCGGGCATTGGGAAATTTTTTTAAGACCTAAATATACCCTTTCTTCAGCATAAAATAAGAATCCAATGTTATTTCCTTCCAAATGAGCAAAGGAAAGCATATCTCATGCATGTTTTCTGCAACATATATTTAGAATTATAAGATCACCGAAAATCAGTAGGAAAAGATCATGCTAATTAAGTGGTCATTTTTTACCGAGTGTGATTTCTACAGCAGGTCACATAACAGTGCATTTAAAAGCCTACATACTGGCAAGTCCGAAATAATATAGGGTTATGCTGTATGATAATCGGTTTAGCGACCGCACGTAAGTAATCCCTCCTAATCGGAAACGCATTCAAGAATTTTGGCCAACCTTTCATGAGATCGGCCACGCACTGTATGTTGAAAGAAGGAGCGGCAAAAACAAGGAAAACTGCAATGGCTTTTCTCGCTAATTAGCCGCCATCATCCAGCCATATCCAAGCATCTGGGATTCAAAACCGGGCTCTTTGATCCCTGAGCTGAGCCCGTAAGTGGCGATTGGGTTCGAATCCCCGGTTCGCACCAAAGCTGGGGTTGTGAATGACTGGGCGATGACGACTAATAGGCCAGAATAGGTCATTCCGTTCACCATAAATTCATAGTTACTATGCGACTGCCTTCAGGAGCCCCAGACTGGGCCTCCCTCCAGGCACAACGGGTCGAGCGTGTCCCCTAACCCGATAGGTGAATGCGATTCCAACAGAGCCCAATCTGCTCCCAGTCATGTTTTTGTGCATTGGGAGAAACAGAGCCGAAAGCTGGCTACTTGTGACCCAGTCAGTAAGGATAAGTTATTTGAAAGAATGCGGTACCGATTGGGCCAGGTGGGAGACGCGTGCCCGGGGAGCCGCGACCGGGCCGGCAGGTAGCAGAATTGAGAGATGAGGTAGAAGTAGAGATGCCATGCAAGGAGAGAGTCTGCGGTAAGTCGTGCTGATATCTCTGGGAGGCTATGGAGGAGGCCTGAGCGAACGTTGACGCACCGGCGATCCTGGCCTTCGGCTCGTCAACGTCCGTGACCTGAGAAGTGCGCCCATAGCCCATAGGGATTCGAGGCACCAGGAGGTGTGCGTACGAACGTTCCTGGAGGGTTTAAAAAGAAAGCATGGTTGCCCAGCGCATGCGAGTTATAAAAACGCTGCCTAGTGACGGTAACACGCAAGAGATGGCATTTCATCTGTGACATTTCCAGAAAGGGCAATCGTTCAATGACTATGCCCAGTCAGAATAATTTGGAGATGCAGAATTGAATAGAATACTACCTTAGAGCGCGACTGTAGGCAACATTGGGTGTAGTGAATGAGGTGGTGTGAATTCGCAATTTTTGTCATGCCACATGTTCGATGCATTAAATTCACTTCATCTGAACAGCTTGATCTCTCTCTCTGTATTGGATCTATTGTCTCTCCAACTCCATGGTCACGAATGCACTAATCTTAGGCAGAAAGAAACTACATCACAGTCCGTTGCGACTTATCCGTGAAATCAGTCGGCCTCCTTGTTCACGAGAAACAACCGGCAGTGAGGTGACCAGACAATTAATCGCAGGTAGCCCTGTCTACACGCGATGTTGAGCAAGGTTTGCAATGCACTACTTCAACAACTCCATATTTAAACCAGACACATACGATGTAAGGTAGACTTGCATGTTGATAAACCTTACCGCGCAGCTATATAACAGTGAATTTCTCATAAAAAGTAATTGGCACCGCATACGGACCGCGAAATGCGGGTGCGTCGTCATGCGACAAAATGTCAATGAGAACATTTATAGGAGAACCAACCCTCTAGCGAGAGGTTAAAGGACGCAAGACAAGTCCCCCTGCAAATACTGCAAATACACTTTGCAAGCGTATACCCCCGCCTGTGGCAATGTTTTCTTCGTCATAACGAAGTCAAACAACATGCATTCTGGTAATGGAATTGAGCAAAATGAACGCATTTGATTACATGGGACTCCTTATTTGGCACTCATCTGAACAAATCAGCGCCACCATACTTGGCAGCCGCAATCTGCTTGACCTCAATTCATGTCTGCTGAGGAGTAAACGAGTAAGTGCATTAAGTTTCCTCCGCTGACAATACCTATTTGCAAATTATCTTCAATTCCATAGCACTACCTACAGCAGGCTGGACATACAAACCCAATTGCACGGGTCAAGCAGTACTTAGGATTGAAATCGCATAAATCATGCGCCAGCGGACCAACTGTCTACTTTGGGGACGTGTTTGGTGAAAAAATCAAGGCCAAAGAAAACGCACTCTTTATTGCAAATACAAGTGAAGCGTAGTGTTTGGGAGTCAGGACCGCTGATGTCAACAGGGATGGTGAAATCGACAGTCAGTAACTCTTGAAGAAGGAGACACGATAGCCGGGACAAGAGCTTTATTAGCCTGACGTTTCGGATTCCTACTCGAATCCATCATCAGAGACAAAAGAGCAGAAACGGGTGGTTGTTGCACAATTCAATTTACGATGGAGGAGGAAGAGAACAACCAGCTGGCCTTCCTGGATGTCCTCGTATGCCGCAAAGATTGTGGTGGACTAAAGACCAATGTGTTCAGGAAAGCGACAAATACGATGCAAGTACTGAACTTCAACAGTAACCACCCAATCAGCCACAAACGCAGTTGTGTAAGGACGCTCTATCGGCGTGTCGAAACACACTGCAGTGAGCCGGAAGACAAGATTGCTGAACTACAATACCTCCGACGGGTATTCAAAGCCAATGGCTACCCGAGCAATTTTGTCAACCGGTGCATACGCAAAATGGACGAAAGGCCTAACCGCACGGACACCAAAGTTTGGCGAGCGCTTCCATATGTCAAGAACGTTTCGGAAGCTGTTGGCCGCCTTCTCGCACCGCTGGGGGTTGGAGTTGTACACAGGCCAGAGGCAACCATCAGGCGCCAACTGATGAAACCAAAAGACCCACTGCCACGGCAAGAAACGTCTGGAGTCGTTTATCGGATCTGGTGCAGTTGCGGACAAAGCAACTACGTCGGAGAAACCGGAAGACAGCTCCGAACGCGAATGGCCGAACACGCTGCAGCAGTGCGGAGAAATGACGCCAGCTCTCAAGTTGCGGCTCATTCGACGGGTTCCGGCCACACATTCAAATTTGACGAGGCCGAAATTCTCGCAAGAGGTGACAACCGCGTGAGCCGGGAGCTGCTTGAGTCATGGTTCACTGGCCCCCAGTCTATTAACAAGTGCAATGATCTTCCCATTCAATACAGCGTGCTGAGACTTCATCTAGGCGGAGAAATTGGCCACGCGGGGAGCGCCCTGATGAACACTCTTCCCAACACCCGGGTCAGCGCGTCAGATGGTCGAGCAATCATCACGCCAACATCCAACGCACGTGATGAAATTGCAGCAATTAACGACGCGAATATCGACCATCACGCCACGTGCAACGATCCCTGATGAAGGGGAGGGAGCCGTGAACATTCATAGGTATGCGGTGGCATGGCTACTGCATCCTATAAATACTGCAGCCACATGTGCATGAACCACCCTGATCTGCTTATGTCTCTGATGATGGATTCGAGCAGGAATGCGAAACGTCAGGCTAATAAAGCTCTTATCCCGGCGATCGTGTCTTCTTCTTCAAAACGCGCTCTTTATTGCAAATACAAGTGAATCGTAGTGTTCGGGAGTCAGGACCGCTGATATCAACAGGGATGGCGAAATCGACAGTCAGTAACTCGACTGTCTGCGATGATCGTGGGAGCCGATAATGTCTAACAGGCACACAGGCGCACAACAGCAGTAGTTCAAGTGCCGAGCCGCAATGCTCTCGGGAGCTGCCAACTGTGATAGGAATGTAGCGGCCTAACAACTCTATCTTATCAAAGCTGAAACACCTGGGCAATACACTACCACTTACAGTGAGTGACCAATTTCATGAAATGCTGGTCGAAATTCTGAAATACCCTGTCGATAAGAAAGGGTACCTTAAGTTAGGTTGTAATACTAATTATCGTTCGAGAAAATCACTAATCGAGGTGTTGACTTTTTAATGCACTTGTTTTCGACCTCCTATAGACGCCGCACTCGGCAAAAAGTGACTACTTATGCAGCATGCATTTTTCACTTAGATTTTCGAAGATCTTGTAAATTCAGATATATTTTATAAAAAAACATGCGCAAAAACATGCTTTCTTTTAGTCGTTTGATAAAATAACATATTTTCTTCACATTTTGTACCCAAAAGGGGGTATATTTAGGTTTTTAAAACGTTTATCGATTCACGAATAATTTTGGGTCTACTCAGAGGCTGCATCAGCGTTTAACGGTTGCAGTTCACAAGGTGCATGCTTTCCGCGTGCGAAAAGTCATATCTTTCCCTTTAACTTTAAGAAGATACCAAATACAGTTCATAAAATTTTGTAGAGAGTGCTTACTATGTTGTACATTTCATGAGGATCATTGGTGAACCGACGTGTTCGATGCTGTATGTATGGACGGTGCACAGTCTTAGAAATCTCCTAACTAGGAACCTTTTTAAAACCAAAAGATAACCTTTCTTAGGAAGTAAAACGCAAGAACACTGTGATCTCCGATCAAATGAGTGAAAGAGAGCATATTTTTATGTATGTTTACTGTAAATATATATTTTAAATCATGGGTTCATCGAAAATCGAGGTGAACAATGCTTGCTGCATATGAATTCATTGTTTACCGAGTGCGGTATCTACAGGAGGTCCAAAAGAAATGCACTCAAAATCCGATACTACGGCAAGTTCGAAATATTTTAGGACTATGCCACATAACAATCAATGATAGAAAGCCACTCAAGTAATCCATACTAATAGAAAACGCGTTTCAGAATTTCGGCTAATATTTCATCAGATTGGTAACTCAATACGAAAAAACACTTAAAATATTCTGCTGCAATAAGTTCAATGTTACGAATTTTGTGAAATTATGTTCGCTCCTTCTAAGCATAGAAATACTGTTACTATCTCACACGGTTGTTATTATGTTTCTGACAATAATTGCAGTCTGCAATGCTGGAAGCGCAACATTTTGCTCCATGTGGTGAGTTGACATCATCAAATGAGAGCAGAGCAAGGCGACAACGAGGAGACTGTCAAGATTGTTACCTAAATTAGATGTCTGTTAGATCTTTACATTATTACCTATACTTTATAAGAATATGAATGAGCCCTTCATTGTCTGGGATTTCATTTTGCGAGCAAAAATAATGTTATATTAGCCAACGGTCGGTCCTAAGGAAACAGCTTTATTTGCATTTCAAGCCTCACGTCGAGTCAAATAATGGTGCTTGACTTAGACGTATTCCCATCTACTTCGAAATAAAGAATAGCGACCCGTAAGAATAGGAATCTCTCTTTATCACGGATGCGGTTCGCTAATTTTTAGAGAAATTAGAGCTAGTTTGTGGTTAGGGTGAAGTTTTGATTTAGGGGTAAGACTAATTTTCAGTTGGACTTAAGATAGACTTAAGTTACTTGTTATGTCTAGGGTTAAGCCTAGGTTCAGAGTAGACTTGGAGCTTAGAGTCACGTTCAGGGCTAGGCTTAATTTTTGTGTTAGGGTCGTGGACATGAGATGAGAACATTTAAATTCGCAAGAATTTTGCGTAATGCCACTTGCATTACCCGGTACTGGGAGTTCTATTCCGTGTCTTGCTATGACAGTAAACAAAGAATTCGAGATTTCTTCCGTATCGGATATATGTACCGATTAATTACGCCGTACAAAGTAATGTATTGCGACTGTTTGTGGTTTAACTTACAAATTGCCCGCAAACAGCAACACGTTGAACTTCAACACACTTGGAAGCTCACCTGCGTGTGCATGTGCGGAATATCGATTAAAATATTCAGCAACGATCAAAGCAATGTCGTTTGATATCCTTCCCAAGATCGTCTAATGCAGTTACTGGTCTTCGAAAGCACTGTTTAATGCTTGTATACCTCCTTGTTTTAGGAAGGGCGCTTAAAATTCGGCGAACACACATCCTATATATGTATATATATACATATGCATGATAGGTGTTTCAATCGTACTCGCCACATAGGTACTAAGTGAAGTCCCGGACACCCGTTCCGCCGATGGCGCAGGTGCTGGGTCACGGCTTCTCAACACCTCAATGTGTTTCCTATAATATGAACTCAAGAGAACGGTCAAAATATTAATTTTAGAAATTAAATGCACGACATGGGGTTAAGTGTCCGACACATGACATTTGAGACCGAATTTGGAATGCCGGTGGACATTTGAGTCGAAGACAAACAACTACTGTATAGCAACCACGGAATGTGTATTCTATAAAAAGTAGCGACAAAAGGTATAGCCTTTTATATGGCATGTGGTTATATCCTGCTTCCACAGAGTCGTTATCTTAAAGCACAAATACGTGCACTACGTGTTTTAGTATGTGCATCCCGTAGTTATTCCGCTATAGGCGATTGCCTTCGATTTGAATGTTTATTTACATCTCAGGTCTGACCCTAGGATGCCATGCCAAGATAGTTAACTGTATGTCCTTCACTGAATAATTTATGATATTACCTACTTAATATATGCACATATACATGAAGTGTAGAACAGCGGTTATATGCATTCCACACTGATATAATAATACCAAGATATCCTGGGAAGGAATCCCCCTCAGTATCTTTACTGCGCGCAGCATTATCGCATATGAGGTACAAGACGTTTCATGAACGTCCATTTAACGGAATAAAAAATCACACAATTAGAAAAGTTTCTTAAAACCGAATTTGACTCCTCTTTTTAGTGTGGAATTGGAAGAAGACGTCATTTCCTACAAAATGAGCAAAAGAATGAATATTTTTATGCATGTTTTCCATGAAATATAATTTAATTTTCAAGGGCATTGAAAATCAATGAGACACTTGCATACTACTTAAGTAGTCATTTTTTGCAGAGTATAGATCTTGCATGCAGCCAAAAATAAGTTCTTTCGAAAGCCGACACCCTGAGGTAACTGGATCATTATAGATTTATGCTGCATCATGATTAGTTTTGCAACACTACTTAATTTATCTTTTCGAAACGAGAACGCATTTCGAAATTTTGGTTGACATTTCATGAGTGAGCACATCTACTGTATCTGCCGATTACCTACGCCGCACGAAGAAATGTTTTGCGACTGTATGTGGTTTAACTTAAAAATGGCCAGCAAACAGTAATACCTTGAACTTCAAAATACTTGGAAGGACATTCGCCAGGCACGTGCGGAATATCGATTAAAATATTCAGCAGCGACCAAAGCAATGTCGTTTGACATCCTTCTCAAGATCAACTGATGCAGTTACCGGTCATCGAAGGCACGTATATAATACTTGTATATCTCCTTTTTCTTGAAGAGGATTTTAAAATTTGACGAACACACATTTTGCATATACATATATGCATGATAGCTGTTAACATCGTACTCCCAACATAGGTACTAACTGAAATGCCGGACACCCGTTCCGCCGAGGACGCAGGTGTAAGGGTCCTGGCTCCTCAACATTTCTATGTGTTTTTTATAAAATTAACTCCAGAGAACGGTCAAAATATTAATTTAAGAATTAAATGCACGACATGAGGTTAGGTGTCAGATACATGCCTTTTGAGCCCGAACTGGAAACGCCAGTATACATTTGAGTCAAAGATATACAACTTTTGCACAGTAACCACGGAATGTGTATTATATAAAAGTAGCGACAAAAGTGGTATAATGATCTATGACATGTGGTTATATCCTGCTTCCACAGAGTCGTTATCTTAAAGCGCAAACACGTGCACTACGTGTTTAAGTATGTGCATCACATAGTTGTCTTCAATTTAAATGTTTATTTACATCTCAAGTCTGACCCTAAGATGTCATGCCATGAATAATTAACTGCATGTCCTTCACTGAATAATTTATGAAATTACCTACTTAATATATGCACATATACATGAAGTGTAGGACAGTGGTCATATGCATTCCAAACTGAGATAATAATGATAAGATATCCAGCGAACGAAATCCATTCAGTATCTTTACTGCGCGCAGCATTATCGCATATGGGGGATCTAATTTTCAAAGGACAACAGACAAACAAACTTGATGGCGTGATTGTTGGTAAAGTTGGTCGGTCCGGATGACACCACGTCCACCATTTTCACGCCCGCAACTGCAAAGATACTGAAGTCCCAACATGGTTGGCATAACGGGACCCAGATTGTCTCGATGCTTTTTACACCAATACGGGTGTTACCGACTCCCATGTTGTACTATAGGTTCACAATGAAAGTCTGCAAACACGGTGTACTAACCCCAGCTGTCATCCTAAATAAGTGACCACCAAGCGAGTCGTCTGCATTCCCCGTGATTTAATATCCGCCACCCCTCAATCAACACGAAAAATCATCTCATAGTACCTTCCCAATGGAAACCT